CACAGGAACCTTGGACCCTAAACCCTGAGTAGTTACCATTATAGGAGCCTTCTAGAAGGTCTATGTAACTTATGGAAGCCTTATAGAAGCCATATATACCCTAAACTCCCCACCTGCAGTTTCCTTGAACTGAGGTACAGGATCGCAGAATTCCATGATCTGGCCAGATGCTGAGCATCTCCGGGTTACAGCTGCAGGGTACTATGTTCTGAACTCCATACGGTGGATGAGAGAGAGAGAGAGAGATATGTATATATATATATATATATATATATCCTGCATTACCCATAATAAGGAATATACCGTAAATTCCCATAGTTTAGGGTCCTTAAGGTAATGCAAGATTTTTCTATCATCAACAGTATGTATATAAACATCTGTGTAACGCATGCCCGTCTGTTTAAGATATGTAGTAGAGTTAGATGTACCGTGGTTTTATTCCTTCACTTGTGTCTATCTATCTGTCTGTCTGTATGTTACATGTGCGCATGCACATTCGCACCGATGTGTGTGGGGAGATGCATTCTCCCCATATGCCCTGCCACGAGGTCTGGTTGGAGGATCATAGTCTCATCAGCAGAAGACATGGGTTTATGATGATGTCAGCCTGGACCATTGAAATCTATAAGCTAACCCCGAAGCCCTGAACCCCTAAGCCAAACAAGTCTAAACCCTAAACCCCGAAACCCCGAAACCCTAATCCTAACCCGAAACCCCGAAGCCCTAATCCTAACCCGTAAGCCCGAATCTCTAAGCCCTAAACCCCGAAGCTCCGAAACCTCAATCCTATCCCCTCTATACCCTAATCTCTAAACCCTGAACCCTCAAACCCCCAAACCGCGAGACCCCTCCCCTTGTAGAACCCCATGATAGCAACTCTTGCAGATTCCTTAAAGGAACCCTTCAAGGAACACTCTAAGACACCCTAAATCCTAAACCCTTAACCCTAAACCCTTATAGATCCCTTTAAGGGAACCCTCTCATGCCTATAAGACCTTGTCCTTACTTGGAGGATCACGGGACTTAGTAAATAAGGTTATAAGTCCGCTAATTGGGGTTATAAGTATAGTTACCTTCGTTATGACCCTACGCCCTACTCACTAAGTCCCATGATCCTTTAAGTAAACCCTGAACCCTAAACCCTATAAACCCTTATAGATCCCTTTAAGGGAACCCTATAAACCCTTATCGATCCCTTTAAGCCCCCAAACCTAAACCCTAAGCCCTAAACCCTAAACCCTAAACCTTAAACCCTACTTACTAAGTCCCAGGATCCTTTAAGTAGTAGAGCCCCAAGGAGCCGGCTGCGGCCTCCGACCGACTCGGGCGGCTCCTGCGTCAGCGGGGCGCCGGTATCGTGAAGCTGCCGGCGCAACGAGGCCGGCTGTTGGGGTTATATAAGGGGTTCAGGGTTTAGGGTTTGGGGGTTCTTAGGTTTTGAATAGGCTTTTAGGGTTTTCTCGGGTTTTGAACACCGATTTTTATGGGTCTTGAGGATGTTTACAGGGGGCTGCTAGGGTTTTCGGGTTCCCGGGTTTTAAGCGTGCGCTTTGGGGTTTTTGAGCGTTTTAGTGTTATTAGTTTTTCTTTTGTGGCTTGTGTAATGTGTGGTGAGGGATCGGTCGGGTGTGTGTCAGGTTTCACACGGTCTTCTAGGTCTTACAAGGTTTGTATGGTAGGTCTTACAAGGGTTGTATGGCGTGCCGGATGGTTTTGGAGGGCTTCGTCAGGGTTTCGTGGCGCTGTATAGGGGTTGCAGCATGGTACGGAAAAGTTACACAGGGTTGGATGTGGTTTGATACATGTTTGATAGCGGTTTAGTTGTAAAATAACGATGATCCTCGATGTAAAGTTATCTGACAATGCAACCTGCCATGACCATTTGGCTCAAGATGAAAAGGAGCCGAGCTAAGCTGTACTTCTTCGTTCGGGGTCGGGCTTCCTTTTGGGGTTTCCCTTCCCTCTCCTTTCGTTCCGACCTTAACATAACGGTGTTTGTGTTTGGGTTCGGAATAACTGGTTATCAGCCGTATCTTGCTTTAAGGGTGAAGTAGTCTTTGATTGCATTCGGTGCTCATGGACGTTAATCCTCCTAGGGGACCAGAGCTTTTGCCCCGCCCTCCTCAGCAGCGTCGTGGCAGTCGTGCAGGAAAGTCTGCCAGACGTAAGAGGGAGGCGTGGCAACGCTTTGTGTTCGCGGAGGCGGAGTCGGCGAATCCAGGAGTCTATACATCCTTTTTGGAAGTACCATTCCTGCGGCCAGACGGGACGGTTCGTGCTTTCGGGGTACCGCCACCTCAGAATAATCCCTATCCTGAGGAGTCAGTACCCGAAACGCCACCTCCTGAGGAGCTTGTGGAAGTTCCTGTTGAGCCGATTGCTGCTTCTAAGTCTGCATCTTCAGGGCAAAGGCTTGCTCCTACGCCTAAGGTGAGGGCTAAGTTGTCGGAGCCAGTTGGGCAGCAGCCTTTGATTCCGAAGGCGACGGGGCCAGTTCCGGGGTACGAGAGCTTGGCTTCCGGAAAGCCTGCTCCTCCTCCGCCCCCTAAGCCGTCGTCGAGGCCTCCTGCTCCTTTGATTCCTGGCCCTAAGACTCCTCCTAAGGACCTTACACCTTCAGTGATTTCTTCTGCGTCTGCAAAGCCGCCTACGAAGGCTTCGCCAAGGGTTGTTCTCACAAAGGCTCGGCCCCAGACTCCGGGTCCGGTTCCTAAGGCAGCTCCCAAGGTAGCAGAGCAGGCACCGGCTTCATCATCGTCATCCCCTCCGAAGGTATCCCCAGCAAAACGTGCAGCCGAAGCCGAGGCAGAGGAGGAGTGGCTTCCAGAGGTGGATCCGTCTATTCGGATTGATTTTTCTGGAACTGGTGTAGAGATCGTGGACCCGGACTCTTGCCGCTTGGTGGGCTTAACACGGCAATCCATCGCTCAATACCATTACGTGGTGAGTTTGGACTTCCATAACGTTTTGGATCTTGATTCTCGTGGGCGTCACATCTCTTGGAATCAAAATTATCCTACGTGCCCGGAAGAAGTTCAGCGATTCTTGAGCCGTCTGACGAAGTTTCTGAATCAGACCAACGGATTGTGCATCGTGACGAGTTACTGTCACGCCGTGGACACCAAGCGTCACGTCATCAGGACCATTTCCAATACCGTCGAAAGCCTCAGCGGCGAATTGGGCACCAATTGCTGTGCTTTCATTGTATTGACTCGGCATCCTACGCGGCGCGGTGGCAAGGGCGATATTTTGAGCCGCATTGGAGAGCAGCCTCCAAACGCATCGGCCAAGTGGAGACTACCTATCCTTCACTGCGACGACAGCAGCGAGATCATTGACTCCCTAGCGGGGTTGGACAAGGTGGAGGGAGTCTTGATTCGGGAAGCGTGCTCATCGACGTCCAGCCCCTCCGGTCAATCCATGCGCCTCCTTTGACTTCATCGCGGAGACCTACAGCTACATGCGCCAGTGGGTCATTCGGAACTACCCGGACTCGTTCGACTACGACCAGATCGCGTAGTCCAGGGCCTGTGCATTTGCATCCCAGAGTTAGTTTGGCTGCTCCTAGCGCCGCTGCTCTGTGGATAGGGTGGGTGCTCAGCCTCAGGGTAGTACTTGTAATTTTCTGAGTGCAGGGTAGTCTGAAAGGCTGCTTTGCGCCACAGACTCGGTTTTTAGGACATTGCAACTTCTGCTCAAGCCTTCGGGTTGCAAAACGTCAAGCCGTCACCATGTCTCAATCCCAATCATCCCCTAACGACCCAAGCTCCTTGCTTGATAGGGGTTTAAGGGTTTAGGGGCTTAGAGTTTAGGGGTTTAGGGTTTAGGGTTTTAGGGGTTAGGGTTTAGGGTTTAGGCTTTACTTGGAGGATCATGGGACTTAGTAAGTAAGGTTATAAGTCCCTAGTTGGGGTTATAAGTATAGTTACCTTAGCTATAACCCTACTTACTAAGTCCCATGATCCTTTAAGTAGTGTTTCTCAGCAGTGAAGCCTATGAGCATTCGATAATGACGAGGAGGATGGTGAGGATGCTTGTGATGCTTGTTCCTGATCCTGGTTGGCACATCAAGCATACACATTGCAAGGACCTCTTACACCTCTGGAAGCCCCTCAACCTCGAATCGAAACCCCCAAGCCCTGAACCTTAAACCCTAAACCGTCAGGAGTCATGCATGAGGCAACAGACGAGATTCGCAGGCAGACGGTCTTTGCTTCCGGGAATTCTGTTTCTGCCTTCCTGGATTTCAGTACCCACTCGTCCGCTGCAGTTACTTGATCTCAGCCTTCAAATCCCTAAACCTACACCCAAGCCCCTAAATCCTGAACCCGGAACCCTAAACCCAAAACCTTGGCTTTTGGTTGTCCGGGGCGCGATTCTGGAGAAAACTGTTCCTCAGGAGCTTCGCGTCACACAACCCTTGTAGGAGAGTTACCCTTGTTTTGGGGTTGCGGGTTAGTGCTTAGGGGTTTAGGGTTGAGGGTTTAAGGTTCAAGTTATAGGGTTTCGGGTATAGTCTATTATAGCAACCTTATCATAGTTGCTACAACAAGATCACTATGTTAGGTTGTCATAGCAATTTTAAGAGAGTCACCATGTATTAGTAATCTACCCATAGTAACCCTACCATAGTATCCCTTACGATGGTAGCCGTTTTTGGTAGCAGCATGTAATAAGGTTTTTTAGAAGCCTCATTGTGGGATGTTGTGAGCGGGTGACCCCTTAGACCGCTCTTGCTTTGGGAGTGTCTTTGCGTGTCTTCGGCCTAGCGCCGCTTCTTCCGTCGGTATGCTTCTGTTTAGGCTTTAGGGTTTAGGGCTGCAGGCGCTTTTAATGGTGTTCCAGTACTGACGTTGTCTTCTACAGCCCTACTTGAAGGATCATGGGACTTAGTAAGTAGGGTTATAATTAAGGTAACTATCGTTATAGTCGCTTAGAACCCCAAGTAAGGCACTTATAAACCTACTTACTAAGTCCCATGATCCTCCAAGGAAACCCTAAACCCTAAACCCCGGCATGATGTCTCGTCGTCCCGGTGCTACGCGGTCTCTGCGTCTTGCTGTGTGGGCTTCCAGGTGGCTCCATTGCGGTGTCTGGCTGTCCCCTTGTCCCTGTGTCTTGATCTCGACACTACGGTGTTCCCTTCAACCCTACACCCTAAACCCTAAATCCTAAATCCTAAACCCTAAATCCTAAGTCCTAAGCGGTTCTAAACCCCGAACCCTAGCTGCTACTACTCCCTCCCAATATCCCGGCTTCCCATTGTTCTGTCACTCTGCCTAAGCCCCTAAGCCCCAGAAGCCCTCAACTCCTCAAGCCCCAAATCCTAAACCCTAAACTCTGAACCCCAAGCCCCTAAACGGTTTAGGGTTTAGGGTTCAGGGTTTAGGGTTCAGGGTTTCTGAATCCCTAAATTAGCCCCAAACTCGAAACCTTACCCTAAGCCAAGCTATGCAGGGTTTGGTGCTTCGGTTTCTGACAACTTCCCCCCCGAAGCCGAAGCCTGATACCAAAGGGCCTATAGGGGCTTGAACAAGTACAGCAGTACCTCGAATCCCGGTATACTTTATTGCAAACGGCATACCCAGAAACTCAGAAACTGCTACTGCTATTGTTGATGGTAACCCTAAGCCCTAAACCCGAAACCCTAAACCCTTAACCCTACAGAGAGAGGGCGCTGTGGGGGGTCGTCAGCTCGATCGCTGGCTAGGCACCATCGCCCGCCGAGAATATCCTCAGTGGGTCGGCGTGATCCGAGGCTTCGGCTTCTAGATGCGCGCTCTCACCACTCCGGTCCCACTCATACACGCGGTGCAAGACGCCGCAGGGCACCGGGCGGTCGCCCCTCGGGGCCAGTTCACCGCGCGAAGCGCCGACTGGATGCGGTGTCTTTGCGAGTCCCTTGGGATGGCGCCCAATGTGCGCAACCCAGGAGGCAGCGACGCGCGCCATCACCCTCGAATCTGGGGTCCACTGGCCACCCTGCGAGACGCTAGAATGAAGCCGCGTGCTGATAGCAGCGCGCTCAATGGATTGGGAATCGGCAAACACCCTGGAGACCCGGCGCCCTCACACGGTTAGACACCCACCGAGTCGCTAGGGGCGGGTGAACAGCGTCCGCCTCGACACTCACGCGGGGGCGAACTCATGTTGACAAGGTGGGCTTGGGAGGCGCCGTGGCGAGTGCGCGCGACAAGCGTTTAGATATAGGATAAAGGGGGTCCTACATCTAACCGTACCTTGCTGCGCCCTGACCGGGGGGCTCTCCTAGTTACAGCATGTTTTTGTCAGCTTAAGGGCTGAGGCACGTCCGCCGGGACTTCGTCCGCTTGCTTGCTTGCTAAACCCGAAACCCGAAACCCTAAACCCTAAAAGACCCCCAAACCCGAAGTGCACAGGCCCCTCAAGCCTGACTGCTCTCGTTGAGGATTCCTTTAAAGGAGCCGTATGCTAGCGAGCTAGGTTCTGTCTAAGGAAGTTACCATGGGTTTAGGATGATTAGTGCCAGGATCCCTCGTACTTCTGGGTAGGAGGAAGTTGAGGTTCCGACTTTCTGGCTTCTTTTTTCTTTTAGTTTAAGCTCCACAGTACATACTATAGATCCTGATTGTGGTAACTTAGATGAAGTTCCTTAACAAGAACCCTAAACCCTAACACCAAATCCTTCAATCCTAGACCCTAAACCCCCACACCCCTAAACCCCGAACCCTAAATCCCCAAACCCTAAACCCCCAAACCCTAAACCCCCAAACCCCAAACCCTAAACCCGCAAACCCCTAAGCCCCTAAACCCTAAACCCTAAACCACAAACCGTAAACCCTAAACCCCAAAC